ACAATGTTAAGTTGTGACTAGCGCGCGGCTTCCGTTTGAAACTAGGTCGGAAAATGTACTTTTTCTCACACTAAAGCTTGAAAACAGGCCTCGCAGGCCGGAATCGTGTAACAATCACGAGAAGGCCCGGGGAACACCCCGAACATCTCAGGAGGGACAATTTGAGCCATGAAAACATAACGAACAGGCACAGGGACTCCCGATTTGAAAACTAGGTCGGAAAACACACTTTTCTAACACTTAAACTTGGAAGTAGGCTATCGGGGGGACAAAATCATGTAACAGTCGCAACAAGGGCCGGAAACACCTCAAACACCTCGGGAGTGACAGACGCAAGTGTGAAAGCTTACGGAACTAACACGGGGACTCCCGGTTTGAAAACTAAGTTGGAAAGAGACAGTTTTTCCACGCTTAGGGTTGGAAATAGGACGCCGGGGAGGAGGCCAAAACGTGTCAAGTCGCGGAGAAGGACCGAGAAATGCCCCAAACACCTTGGGAGGGTCCAAGAGGTAAGTTGTGGAGACTTACGGAACTAGCACGGGACTCTCGACTTGAGAACTAAATCAAAAAAATGCACTTTTTTCACACTTAAGCTCGAAAATAGCCGTCGGGGGCCAAAATCTGTGTAACAGTCACGAGAAGGCCCAGGGACAAGGTTTTAAAAAGCGGCCGCAACCGTTACGTAACGCCGTTACGTAAGGTTTGGCGGTTACCGCCACCCGTTACGGCCGCTTTTGCAGTGTGATTGAGATTCACAGGTGTGTCGGCCGCAGCGGCTGCCGTAGCGGTCGTAACGGTGCGTAACAGGCCGTTACGGCTGTTACAGCACCGTTACGTAACGGTTCCAAACTGTTTCTTCCGAAAAAAATACACAAAAAAAGGCTAAAAATGGGGAGAGGGATAGAGAGAAGAGAGAAGAGAGAAGAGAGGAGAGAAAGAGAAAATAAAGAGAGAAAATGGAGGAACAAGAGATAGAGAGAGAGAGAAGAAGATGAAGAACATGTTATTAATTTGTTGAAACTGTAAGACCTATGCTATTCTATTCAGCTGCTATCATAAACCATTTTGTTTGTGTGTGTTCTATCTATATATTGTTTGAAAATAATATAATAATAATAATAAGTGTGGTCATTATCTATTTGGCTTGGTTAAAATATGTATATATATATATATATATATTTAGCCTCTTATTTATTCTCTTACTTTTGTCATTGTTTATCTATGTATAATAGTTAGTGATTGATTTTTTGTATAATATAAAGTCATTAATTATAAGATAAAATGTAAAAAACTCATTTTATAGTAACTTAAAAATATGAAATATATTGCATCATACTTAAAAATTTACAAAAATTGATCAATATTTATTTTTAACCCAATAAATATGATTATGGAAAAAAAATATGCGTATCGGTAAGTTTTTTTCAAATGTGCAAAAAATAAAAAAATTCACGGTTCCGGTTACCGCAACCGTTACACTACGGCCTTTACACCCCGCAACCGCAACCGCGTCACCGCCACCGTTACGGCGACCGCAACCGCTTTTCAGAACCTTGCCCAGGGAACACGTCAAACACCTCGGGAGGGACCGATGTAAGTTGTGAAAACTTATGGAACTAGCACGGGACACTCGGTTAGGAAACTAAGTCCGAAAGGGCACTTTTCTCGCACCTAAGCTTGGAAATAGTGCATCGGGGGGGGGCCAAAATCGGGTGACAACCAAAAGAAGGTCCGGGGAACACTCAAAACACCTAGGGAGGGACAAACGTGAGTTGTGGAAACTAACGAAACTCGAAAGGGACTCCCGGTTTGGAAACTAATTCAAAAAATGCATTTCCTAAATAGTTGCATCGGGGGTCCAAAAAATCTTGTAACAGTCCCGAGAAGGCCCGTGGAACACCTCCAACACCTCGGAGAAACCAATGTAAGTTGTGGAAACTAGCGCGCGACTTCCGGTTTGAAAACTAGGTCGGAAAATGTACTTTTTTCACATTGAAGCTTGAAAAAGGCCTCGGCGGGCCGGAATCGTGTAACAATCACGAGAAGGCCCGGGGAACACCCCGAACATCTCAGGAGGGACCAATTTGAGCCGTGAAAACATAACGAACAGGCACGGGGACTCCCGATTTGAAAACTAGGTCGGAAAACACACTTTTCTAACACTTGAGCTTGGAAGTAGGCCATCGGGGGCCTAAAATCATGTAACAGTCGCAACAAGGGCCGGGAGCGCCTCAAACACCTCGGGAGTGACAGACGCGAGTTGTGAAAGCTTACGGAACTAGCACGGGAACTCCCGGTTTGAAAACTAAGTTGGAAAGAGACAGTTTTTCCACGTTTAGACTTGGGAATAGGACACCGGGGGAGGCCAAAAACGTGTCACAGTCGCGAGAAGGACCGAGAAATGCCCAAAACACCTCGGGAGGGTCTAAGAGGTAAGCTGGGGAGACTTACGGAACTAGCACGGGACTCTCAGCTTGAGAACTAAATAAAAAATGCACTTTTTCACACTTAAGCTCGAAAATAAGCCGTCGGGGGCCAAAATCGTGTAACAGTTACGAGAAGGCCCGGGAAACACGTCACACACCCCGGGAGGGACCGATGTAAGTTGTGAAAACTTACGGAACTAGCACGGGACTCCCGGTTTGGAAACTAACTCCGAAACGGCACTTTTCTCGCACCTAAGCTTGAAAATAGTGCATCGGGGGGCCAAAATCGGGTGACAGCCAAGAGAAGGTCCGGGGAACACTCAAAACACTAGGGAGGGACAAACGTGGGTTGTGGAAACTACGAAACTCGCATGGGACTCCCGTTTGGAAACTTGGTCAAAAAATGCACTTCCTAAACACTTAAGTTTGAAAATAGGCAATCGGGCGCTAAAAAAATCCTGTACCAGTCCCGAGAAGGCCCGTGGAACACCTCCAACACCTCGAGAGAAACCAAAGTAAGTTGTGGAAACTAGCGCGGGCTTCCGGTTTAAACTAGGTCGGAAAATGTACTCATTTCACACGAAGCTTGAAAACAGGCCTCGGCGGGCCGGAATCGTGTAACAATCACGAGAAGGCCCGGGGAACACCCCGAACTATTTTGAGGATTTGCATCCCAACATCTCTGTATCAAGGACGGGAAACCTGTTGGTGCAGACGAGCAGTGACCAGCAAGAGCAGGTCGCAATCCTTCAGACACCACGGCTGCTGTAAGTTGCTGTTCAGTATAGTTCATTTCCAGCACAGTGTGGGCCTGCAAGCAGATCACATGATGCACCGATGAGGCACAACCATGTTAAAAAGCATAGTTGACGGGTCAAATGATTAGGGGGCATTCAGTCAGATTAAGATGTAAGATATTATCTGTGAAGAATTGGACGTCCAGAAGAAAACTTAACTTCGATAGAAACTTTTTTTTTTAATACAATTTTTAGAATATGAAAATTATATGGGAAACCTGAACCCTGATAAGCAGTTATATGCATGAACATGTGTGCTCATAAACTGAATGACAAGAAAATGAGGAATGGTATGAGAAGTAATCTAGAAAGCAGGAAGAGAAATCCCACTAGATGTTAATGAGATTGAACAACACAGAGTGGCTGAAAATGAGAGAGCTTAGCGTGGTAGTCAAACTACATGACCTTCAACACAGTGGCAGGAAATATACACAAGTCCCAGAAAATGAGTTCATGCCACGCTTGCCTGAAACTGCTGTGGTTAAACTGCAGGATTCAAGTGTTCCACTTGTCTTAATCACCATGGTGGTCAAACTACATGTCCTTCAACTCTGCGATAGAAACACTGTGCCATTCGTCCAATCGCAAGTCAAAGAGGCAGGACTTATATATGCTGAAGTATTCAACATAGCACCTCGAAAGATTTTGTGGTTTGTGGCTAGAGACTAAAGTGTTGATCACTATGACACCCCCGTGAGTGCCACTTAGCCAGCCTTACTGAGAGAGAGATACCACACCATTGGACCTTTTGTGTGGATGCTCAGGGATCAAGGCAAATCCTAAGGGATTGATACACAAGCCACATGTTGTGGCATATCCTAATGGAATCCAGAATATCTAGGAAATTTGTTATGGGTCTTGTGACCCCCCTCTTTATAAATAGGAGTTAGCACCCCTTACATCACCAGCACTTTCGGGCACGTAACATCAACATCAGGAGGTGCCAAACTCCTCAGACATTTACTCATCTATGTATTACTGGCCCAACACACGTTTCTACACCTCACTCGCAAGAGTGATAATTTAACAGCCATATAGCCATGTAAACAGTGAGTTATAGTAAAAGGAAAAAGTCAAACCTGCGCTTCTGCACAAAGATCAGTATATGGGACAACACCAGTAAGCAGTTCATTGCAACACATCGAAATCAATTTCATGTTTATATGAAATTATATAAATAAATTCTTCTACATGTCATTGGAAATGAATATGATCTATCAATCCCAAGTTCTACGACAAGTAGGACTGTAAGAGAAATAAGCTACCTAGATAACAAAGCAAAAGACTCAGTCTATACAATTATCTAGCATTGAAATGTTATCCCCGAATCTAAAATAAAGTACATGCATACCCTTCTTGTTATTACATTGCCCGAAATTTGTTAGATAAAGTGAATTAAGGCATTCATGAATGATCAAGATGACCATACATTCTATTTGCTTTTTGACAAGTACGACATGAAAATAGTCAGCCCAAGAAAATAGTGTTTAATCCATTGTTAGACACTCTAAGAAGTATGGACATGGACAAGAGACACGATAAAGATATGACATGGACACGCTAGCACACAAATTTCAAAAAATGCAAGATGCAACACGTAAAGGACACCTGCAAATAAATAGTTTTATATATTTATTATATGTGATGTATATGAATACTTTAATTAATACCAAACCAAACCAAACCAAACCAAACAAGCAAGCCTTAAGTCTCATCAAATAGGGTCAGCTACATGAATCCTTCTTCTCCACTCGAGTCTATCAAAAGTCATTTGGTTAGTCAAATTAAGGAGATTCATATCTATATTACTATATAGCCCACGTCAATCTAGGTTTTTCCCTTCCCTAACACTTCCTCTCCCGTCACTATATCGCATCTTTTCACTGCTGCCTCTGTTAGTCTCCATTGTATATGACCAAACCATCTTAATCTATTCTCTCTCAGCTTACCTTCTATCGTATAAACTCCTACCCACTCACGAATATACTCATTTCTAACTCTGTCTTTTCTAGTCTTGCCACATATCTACCTTGGCATCCTCATCTCATCAACACTCATCTTATCTATATGTTGTTTTTTAGTTGCTCAACATTCCATTCCATACAATATTGCTATTCTAGTAGTCATTCTATAGAACTTTCTTTTTTAATCTAATGGGTACTCGTTATCACACAGTACCCTATACGCATTCCTCCACTTAAGCACCCTGTCTTAATTGTATGACCCACATCTTCTCCAACTTCCCTAGTTGTTGTGATAATCGATCATAAATAATAAAAATATTCACTCTTAGGTAGTTCTTGGTTCTCAATCTTCATTTCTCTCCTATGTCCATTGTTACTATTACTAAAATTATACTCCATGTACTCTGTCTTATTTCTGCTTATCCTAAATCCTTTAGATTCAAATGCTTCTCTCCAAGTCTTCAACTTAGTGTTAACTCCTCTACTCTCATCCACTAAAACGATTATCATCTGCAAAAAAATATATACCATGGTCAATCATCTTGAATATTTCTCGTCAACTCATCCATGAATAGTTGGAGGTGTCCAATTGTGGTTTTTTCCACGTTAAAATCGTTGTGTCGATTTGTTTTGATTGTTTGATTGGGATTGTTATATTCTGCTTAAAATTGATACATAATCACAAATCAACATCTAGGGGATTTCTAGATTTTTCAATAATAATAATAATAATAATAATAAGTGTGGTCATTATCTATTTGGCTTGGTTAAAATATGTATATATATATATATATATATTTAGCCTCTTATTTATTCTCTTACTTTTGTCATTGTTTATCTTATGTATAATAGTTAGTGATTGATTTTTTGTATAATATAAAGTCATTAATTATTAAGATAAAATGTAAAAAACTCATTTTATAGTAACTTAAAAATATGAAATATATTGCATCATACTTAAAAATTTACAAAAATTGATCAATATTTATTTTTAACCCAATAAATATGATTATGGAAAAAAAATATGCGTATCGGTAAGTTTTTTTCAAATCGTGCAAAAAATAAAAAAATTCACGGTTCCGGTTACCGCAACCGTTACACTACGGCCTTTACACCCCGCAACCGCAACCGCGTCACCGCCACCGTTACGGCGACCGCAACCGCTTTTCAGAACCTTGCCCAGGGAACACGTCAAACACCTCGGGAGGGACCGATGTAAGTTGTGAAAACTTATGGAACTAGCACGGGACACTCGGTTAGGAAACTAAGTCCGAAAGGGCACTTTTCTCGCACCTAAGCTTGGAAATAGTGCATCGGGGGGGGGCCAAAATCGGGTGACAACCAAAAGAAGGTCCGGGGAACACCTCAAAACACCTAGGGAGGGACAAACGTGAGTTGTGGAAACTAACGAAACTCGAAAGGGACTCCCGGTTTGGAAACTAATTCAAAAAATGCATTTCCTAAATAGTGCATCGGGGGTCCAAAAAATCTTGTAACAGTCCCGAGAAGGCCCGTGGAACACCTCCAACACCTCGGGAGAAACCAATGTAAGTTGTGGAAACTAGCGCGCGACTTCCGGTTTGAAAACTAGGTCGGAAAATGTACTTTTTTCACATTGAAGCTTGAAAATAGGCCTCGGCGGGCCGGAATCGTGTAACAATCACGAGAAGGCCCGGGGAACACCCCGAACATCTCAGGAGGGACCAATTTGAGCCGTGAAAACATAACGAACAGGCACGGGGACTCCCGATTTGAAAACTAGGTCGGAAAACACACTTTTCTAACACTTAAGCTTGGAAGTAGGCCATCGGGGGCCTAAAATCATGTAACAGTCGCAACAAGGGCCGGGAGCGCCTCAAACACCTCGGGAGTGACAGACGCGAGTTGTGAAAGCTTACGGAACTAGCACGGGAACTCCCGGTTTGAAAACTAAGTTGGAAAGAGACAGTTTTTCCACGTTTAGACTTGGGAATAGGACACCGGGGGAGGCCAAAAACGTGTCACAGTCGCGAGAAGGACCGAGAAATGCCCAAAACACCTCGGGAGGGTCTAAGAGGTAAGCTGGGGAGACTTACGGAACTAGCACGGGACTCTCAGCTTGAGAACTAAATAAAAAAATGCACTTTTTTCACACTTAAGCTCGAAAATAAGCCGTCGGGGGCCAAAATCGTGTAACAGTTACGAGAAGGCCCGGGAAACACGTCACACACCCCGGGAGGGACCGATGTAAGTTGTGAAAACTTACGGAACTAGCACGGGACTCCCGGTTTGGAAACTAACTCCGAAACGGCACTTTTCTCGCACCTAAGCTTGAAAATAGTGCATCGGGGGGGCCAAAATCGGGTGACAGCCAAGAGAAGGTCCGGGGAACACCTCAAAACAGCTAGGGAGGGACAAACGTGGGTTGTGGAAACTAACGAAACTCGCATGGGACTCCCGGTTTGGAAACTTGGTCAAAAAATGCACTTCCTAAACACTTAAGTTTGAAAATAGGCAATCGGGCGCTAAAAAAATCCTGTACCAGTCCCGAGAAGGCCCGTGGAACACCTCCAACACCTCGAGAGAAACCAAAGTAAGTTGTGGAAACTAGCGCAGGGCTTCCGGTTTGAAAACTAGGTCGGAAAATGTACTCATTTCACATCGAAGCTTGAAAACAGGCCTCGGCGGGCCGGAATCGTGTAACAATCACGAGAAGGCCCGGGGAACACCCCGAACTATTTTGAGGATTTGCATCCCAACATCTCTGTATCAAGGACGGGAAACCTGTTGGTGCAGACGAGCAGTGACCAGCAAGAGCAGGTCGCAATCCTTCAGACACCACGGCTGCTGTAAGTTGCTGTTCAGTATAGTTCATTTCCAGCACAGTGTGGGCCTGCAAGCAGATCACATGATGCACCGATGAGGCACAACCATGTTAAAAAGCATAGTTGACGGGTCAAATGATTAGGGGGCATTCAGTCAGATTAAGATGTAAGATATTATCTGTGAAGAATTGGACGTCCAGAAGAAACTTAACTTCGATAGAAACCTTTTTTTTTTAATACAATTTTTAGAATATGAAAATTATATGGGAAACCTGAACCCTGATAAGCAGTTATATGCATGAACATGTGTGCTCATAAACTGAATGACAAGAAAAATGAGGAATGGTATGAGAAGTAATCTAGAAAGCAGGAAGAGAAATCCCACTAGATGTTAAATGAGATTGAACAACACAGAGTGGCTGAAAATGAGAGAGCTTAGCGTGGTAGTCAAACTACATGACCTTCAACACAGTGGCAGGAAATATACACCAAGTCCCAGAAAATGAGTTCATGCCACGCTTGCCTGAAACTGCTGTGGTTAAACTGCAGGATTCAAGTGTTCCACTTGTCTTAATCACCATGGTGGTCAAACTACATGTCCTTCAACTCTGCGATAGTAACACTGTGCCATTCGTCCAATAGCCAAGTCAAAGAGGCAGGACTTATATATGCTGAAGTATTCAACATAGCACCTCGGAAGATTTTGTGGTTTGGTGGCTAGAGACTAAAGTGTTGATCACTACGACACCCCCGTGAGTGCCACTTAAGCCAGCCTTACTGAGAGAGAGATACCACACCATTGGACCTTTTGTGTGGATGCTCAGGGAACAAGGCAAATCCTAAGGGATTGATACACAGCCACATGTTGTGGCATATCCTAATGGAATACAGAAATATCTAGGAAATTTGTTATGGGTCTTGTGACCCCCCTCTTATAAATAGGAGTTAGCACCCCTTACATCACCAGCACTTTCGGGGCACGTAACATCAACATCAAGGAGGTGCCAAACTCCTCAGACATTTACTTCATCTATGTTATTACTGGCCCACACACGTTTCTACACCTCCACTCGCAAGAGTGATAATTTAACAGCCATATAGCCATGTAAACAGTGAGTTATAGTAAAAGGAAAAAGTCAAACCTGCGCTTCTGCACAAAGATCAGTATATGGGACAACACCAGTAAGCAGTTCATTGCAACACATCGAAATCAAATTTCATGTTTATATGAAATTATATAAAATAAATTCTTCTACATGTCATTGGAAATGATAATGATCTATCAAATCCCAAGTTCTACGACAAGATAGGACTGTAAGAGAAATAAGCTACCTAGATAACAAAGCAAAAGACTCAGTCTATACATATTATCTAGCATTGAAATGTTATCCCCGAATCTAACAATATAAAGTACATGCATACCCTTCTTGTTATTACATTGCCACGAAATTTGTTAGATAAAGTGAATTAAGGCATTCATGAATGATCAAGATGACCAATCATTCTATTTGCTTTTTGACAAGTACGACATGAAAATAGTCAGCCCAAGAAAATAGTGTTTAATCCATTGTTAGACACTCTAAGAAGTATGGACATGGACAAGAGACACGATAAAGATATGACATGGACACGCTAGCACAACAAATTTCAAAAAATGCAAGATGCAACACGTAAAGGACACCTGCAAAATAAATAGTTTTATATATTTATTATATGTGATGTATATGAATACTTTAATTAATACCAAACCAAACCAAACCAAACCAAACCAAGCCAAGCCTTAAGTCTCATCAAATAGGGTCAGCTACATGAATCCTTCTTCTCCACTCGAGTCTATCAAAAGTCATTTGGTTAGTCAAATTAAGGAGATTCATATCTATATTTACTATACTAGCCCACGTCAATCTAGGTTTTTCCCTTCCCCTAACACTTCCCTCTACCGTCACTATATCGCATCTTTTCACTGCTGCCTCTGTTAGTCTCCATTGTATATGACCAAACCATCTTAATCTATTCTCTCTCAGCTTACCTTCTATCGGTATAAACTCCTACCCACTCACGAATATACTCATTTCTAACTCTGTCTTTTCTAGTCTTGCCACATATCTACCTTGGCATCCTCATCTCATCAACACTCATCTTATCTATATGTTGTTTTTTAGTTGCTCAACATTCCATTCCATACAATATTGCTATTCTAGTAGTCATTCTATAGAACTTTCCTTTTAATCTAATGGGTACTCGTTTATCACACAGTACCCTATACGCATTCCTCCACTTAAGCCACCCTGTCTTAATTGTATGAACCACATCTTCTCCAACTTCCCTAGTTGTTGTGATAATCGATCATAAATAATAAAAATATTCACTCTTAGGTAGTTCTTGGTTCTCAATCTTCATTTCTCCTCTATGTCCATTGTTACTATTACTAAAATTATACTCCATGTACTCTGTCTTATTTCTGCTTATCCTAAATCCTTTAGATTCAAATGCTTCTCTCCAAGTCTTCAACTTAGTGTTAACTCCTCTACTCTCATCCACTAAAACGATATCATCTGCAAAAAAATATATACCATGGTACATCATCTTGAATATTTCTCGTCAACTCATCCATGACTAAGGCCTCGTTTGGGAACAGGCTAATTTAGTAACTTTTTGGCTATTTGGCTAAAAAGGTAGGTAAAAAAAACTTGTATGTTTAGGATGACTTTTTGGCTAATTACGAAAAGATGTGCAAAAAGTAGAGAGAAAAAAGAATCTTTGACTTTTTGGTATGAGTTGTTGGCTTTTTGGCTAATTTAGTAACTTTTTGACTAATTGGCTAAAATAGCTTCTTGCCAAACGAGGCCTAAAGCAAAAAGATAAGGATTTAAGGTTGATCCTTGGTGTAACCTCACAGTAATTGAAAATTCACTTGTCTCTCCAGCCGACAATCTAATAGTGGTCACCACACCTTCATACATATCCCTAATCACATCAATATAACATTTTGTCACTCTTTTCTTCTCTAACACCCACTAGATTATATCCCGAGAGACTCTATTATATGCTTTTTCAAGATCAAAAAACATATAAATGTCTCTTTTCTTTGCTCTATATTTTTCTATTACTCTCCTTGAAAAATAGATCACTTCCATTATTGACCTACCGAGCATAAATCCAAATTAATCATCTGACATCTCTATTATATCTCGCAATCAACGTTCCATTACTCTCTCCTACACTTTCATTATATGACACATCAGCTTGATTCCTCTATAGTTGTTACAATTCTAGACATCTCCTTTATTCTTATAGATTGGCACTAAAATACTCTTCCACCACTAGTCAACAAAATTTTGTTAAATAATCTATTCAACCAAGCAACCCTCTTCTTACCTAAACATTTCCAAGCTTCAACATGGATATCATTGGATCCTAAAGCCTTATTCAATTTCATCTTCTTAAGTGCAATTTCCACTTCAAAGGTCCTAAAGCCTTAGTTTTGATATTCCTTATTACTGGCTACTTCCTCCCCTTTTGACCTTCCTCCATGTTCTTCATTTAACAACTTCTCAAAATAGCTCTTCCACCTCTTCTTAATCTCTTCATCCTTTATCAACACCTTAGAGTCCTCACTTTTGATGCACTTAACCTGATTAAAATCTCTTATTTTCCTCTCTCTTATCTTAGTAAGTTTGTATATTCTCTTCTCTCCCTCGTTACTATCTAGTTTAGTGTATAGGTCATCATAGGTTTTTAACTTAGTCTCTCTCACTACTTTTTTAACCTCCTGATTAGCCAACTTGCAACTCTTAAGATTTTCTTCAATTCTATCCTTTTGCCACTTTTAAAGGACTCTTTTTTCATCTTTACTACTGCTTGAACCTCATCTCTCCACCACAAAGTTTCCATAGAGTTGGATCTCTTTCCTTTCGACTCTCCAAGGACTTCCCTTGAGATTCTCCTCATACAATTGGCCATTGAGTTCCACATAATGTTAGCATCTTCTTCCATGTCCCAATTACCTTCTTCATCCATTCTATTCTTAAATATTTCTAGTTTATCCCCTTTTAGGCCCCACCATTTCGTCCTACAGCACCCAATATTCTTCCTAGCTTGGTGTTTCCCTTTAAAGCATAAATCTGGTACCAAAAATCCTATGTTGACACGTTAGGCTCTCTCTAGGAATCAACTTACAGTTGCTGCATTTTAAGTGGTCCACTTTTCTTACTAGAAAGCAATCTATTTGGCTCCTAATTGACGCACTCTTAAAGGCTCTCTTCTTATACATAGTATTGGCTACCACTAGGTCAGAAGCCAACGCAAAATCTAAAATATTCTCTCCAATCTTATTATACCACCAAAACCATACCCACCATACACCCTCTCATAATCTAATTTATCTATTCCTGCATGGCTGTTGAAATATTCACCTATAACAAGGTTCTCTCATACGGGTATTTTCTGTAATACCTCATCCATTTGGTCCTAAAAATCTCTCTTAGTTTGATCATCTAATCCTACTTAGAGGGTGTAAGCACTAATAACGTTTACTATATTTTGTCCAATAACTAATTTAACTAACAAAATCCTATCACCTTTCCTAAGTGATGGACACACGTGTCCCCCGAGTGTCCAAAATGTGTCCGGATCTAAAAAAATACTGACATATTTGGACATGCATCTAACATGAAGAATGTCCAACATGTATCATTGGATCTGTCATCAACTTCTCAAGAATGTTAAATGACAAGGTACTAGCTACTAAAGACTGCAATTTCTGCCAACAATTAGTAGAGCAAAACTCAATAAACCTTTTGGAGCTACCAGAGTCCACAAGCACAGGTGCAGGCTATATATTTCAGTATCAAAGCATGGTTCTACGATCACTAACTTGTCATCAACATATAGCATTTCAAAAAACTTCTTGTCCGTCTCATAACACATCATCGGGTACAAAGGATAAAACAACATTTTGATTTGCTATAATTCAAAGTGGCAGAGAGCATAGAAAAATCATTAATTTTATGTCAAACTCTTACTTTATTGTCGCACCGAAACTATATACATCAGACTTTTCATTATGTATCTCCTTTCTAAATATTTCAGGTGCCATATAAATGAGTGTGCCAACCATATTCTTTTTATGGAAACCACCAGTTGGCTTTCCAGATGATCTCCAGTTCTCCATAGAAACTCGTTTAAGATCTTTCTTATATTCTGCTAAACCAAAGTCTGCCCGGATGAAATCCTCATCATCATCATCATCAGCAGCAGCAGTAGAGAAGAAAGAGAGAAGGCAACATCAGTGACAGAGGAAAGATCCAACAACAGTTAGGGAGAAGAGAAAACAACAGCTACAGTAGAGAACAGACAGATCAGCAGTAGTAGGAGTAGTAGCAGACGCGGGGAAGTAGATAATAGATTCAAAGAAGAAGCAGAGAATAGAAGCAACATCAGTGAAGAAGAAGAAAGAGAAAGCAACAGGGGAGAGGAAGAAGAAACCAGCTGGGAAGATGAAGAAGAAGAAAGCAGTAAAGAAGAGGAAGAAGAAGCGAAGCTAAGCTATGCAGAAAAGAGAAGAATATGCAGAGAAGAGAGAGACAAAGGAAGCAGAAGATGTTGAGAGAAAGAAACAGAGAAGAAGAAGCGAGAGCTAAAACCAAAACAAATTTGGAATTTCTAAATTAATGAGACGAGTAATTTGAAGAGGTTCAGTAGTTACCATTAAATCCATAAAGTAATTCCAAGAATTTTCAGCTGAAACTTAAAGAGGTATCTAATTAGGACGTCTACCTAAGATGCTGAGTAGCAATACCAAATTTTAAAATTGGCGAGGTTTTTTTCCTTTTGGATGATGAAGAACCTCTCCAAGACAGGGTCTAGATGCCAGCAAGAGTTGAACCCAAAACATCTGAGTTTATATCTCACTCCTTTGACTACTAGGCTATCCATGCAGGTTAAATTGGTGAGATGTTGGAAATAATTTAGAAAAATTAATATTATTTGCATTATTTATTCATGAATGTTTTAAAAATTGAAATCATATTCCACGTTAGCTATTCCCATGTTTTACAGAAATTCAAGGATATTTATCAAAATTTTTGAAGAGCATTATGTCCATCGTGACATAAATACTTCATTATCATCACTCATATGTTTAGACATTCTTATAAATCTTGTGCAACATGCTAAAACTTACTAATAAGTTAATCTCTTTATTTTATTTTGGTCAATCGTCCATAACCTAATCTAAGTTTGGGTTCCCTTCTCTAAATGCATCAGGAATAATCTATTCAAAATTGACAAAAAACACTACTAATTCCTATATATTGAAAAAAACAATACTTAAGAACACACCATGGTAGTAGATTGCACATCCTTAATCATTGACACCGTATGTTTTATGGAATGTGTGTAAAATCTAAGCCAATGCTATCAAAAGCGTGCTTAGGCCTGCACCTAGGCACAAAGTGCAGTAAAGTGCACCTGAGGGATGGCAAAATTCCTCGGCCCGATTGTATTTGTGCCAGGGTAGGGTAAACTATAGCGGTAGGTAGGTCAAAACTGTCAAGTTTATAGTAAAGTATAAAATTGTATCACTAAATTAATTGAGTTTAAAAGCAAGAATTCACACTCAAAACCCGATCCATTGCCATCCCTGAGGTGAGATGACATTAACGAAGCGCATCCGACGCATGCGCCTATTTCAATTGCTCCTAATTTGTTAAAGACATGATATCAACTCTTCAATTGAATGAAGCCCATTGTAATTTCATTTGTTCCTATAAAAGCCTCCCGAATAAATAGAAAAATCCAACCTTAATCAACAAATTAAAGTTACACACCAAAGCATTTACATTTTGACTTTCATATCATTTTTTTAAAATTTTTTTATTACCTTTTTTCCCTCTAGACGATGACAATCGTCAAATAGTAATTTGCAGCCTTAAGTGTTTATCTATGAAGCATGGGTGCGGGTGCGGGTATGATACGGGTACACCGATACGGCAAATTCTTTAAAAAGTAGGGTACTAGTACGGCTGGGTACATCAATTTTACGTCAATTTTTTTTTTTAATTTTTTAAAAAATTTATAGCTAAACATCCAACATACAAATCAAAATTTCAATATCAAAACTAAAAAGAGAACAACTTGTCTAAAAAGTTATACAATTATTTTTTTTTCTTTTTTGATTGTCTAAAACAGGATACAAAAGAGAGCAAAACCATGACTCATAGGTAAAGAGTGTTGGAAATAAATTACTTGATATTTTCAAAATTGAAAGAATAATAATAAAGGCTGCAATAAATTCTAGCATCTGAGGGGAAAAAAAAAAAAAAAATCATTTTGCCGTACTGGTGTCGTACCCATGCCGTACCCACAACGTACCCAAATGTATTTGCCGTACTCGGCATGTATTCGGCGTACTCGGTACGCGTACTGTCGTACCCGTACTCGCACCCGCACCCGGTAAGATTTTTGGAGTACCGTACTTCATAGGTGTTTATTGTTTAATTGCTTAATTTTTATAATTGTTATTATTATTTTTTTTGATAAATATTATTATTATTATCATTATTATTATTATTATTATTGCTAGGGGTTGTTGGAGTTTTGCTCCTAACACAAATCTATGATTTAAGTTACAATTTTACTCCTTCAATTGTATCTAAACAAAAACTAGGGCTAAAATTTTTGTTTTCGTCCAGAATTGAAAAGATGCTTTGAAAACAATTTAGGTTCAATAGAAGGCTCTGTTTAAAGGATTTACTACATTTCTTTATTTATTATTTTTCCAAAAAAGACTAAATGTCCAAGAATTCCGAAAATTCATCATTTGTAATAATTGTGACAGAGCACGAGTAGTACCATTAGCAACACTCAAAGTAAAAAGAGACTTCAAGCAAGAAAACCACCAATGGAAAGATTCACTATATAACTTTACAGTAGTTAGAAACCTAAACCTGAAATCTACACCACATCACTAACATGTCATCAATGTGAACTAAGCACCTATAAGAATCATCTCAAGTATTTCATATTACCTAAACAAATCATAACAGGTAATAAAACACTATGAGTCTATGAGTGTCATGTTCAGCCTAATCTATACTACTTATTTACCCTTAATAGGAGGAATTTTGCACATAATATCACAAAGAAAATACAAAGAATTTCAATGACGAGTAAGGAATTAAGGTTTACTTCACAAAATTAAAACAAACTCAAATGAAGCCAAGATCATCAAAGACATACCTAACTGGACTGAGATGGTGAGCACTTGATCAAAAGTTGGATTCCACTCTTCCACGTGTAGTTTCTCTGCCAAATTTAGGGACTCTTTGAAGAAAAACATGTAATTTGGAGGCTTTGCATGTGTTGCAACCAATGTGGCGATTCCTGGATGATCTAACTTGCTTCATCATCACATCATATAACCAAATTGTCAAAAAAGAATCCCGCATATCATATGTAGACATTCAAATAAATAAACCAAATACACATACATAAACATCTACACACAAATTCATATATAAGCGCATATTTTATACTATTATTAGAAGGTAACACCTTAATTGATGTCCCTGACAGATTTTTAGTATGCCTGAATTACCCGGTGCTCAAACATCTTTGGATTCTATTTTGATTTGCACAGAATGATAAAATGGTAAAACTACCTAAAACCACCTCAACATCCTTTTCCAGAACCAATATCCCTCTCCTCCCCCAAATGCATCATGGCCAGCCCCAACCTTGAGGCAAGACCACCAAGGGCCTCCAAATTTTAACAAAATTTAGGGGCCCCTAATTAATTTTAACTCTTATAGCATTAGTAGGCTCAAAAATAAGGATTCAGTACAACTAATCTAAGTTCACAATCTAAACTAAAGGGTCCTTACAGATTATGCAAGCTTAATTAGTAATTTTGCATTAAAAAATGTGAGAAAAGTAATATTTAACTGATACACTGTTGTAGTTGGTTCAATTTTTATTTGGTATTATTTAACTGATACCTTTTTGTAAACTGAATTTGGTCAAATTATAAAACTAACAAGACAATATTCTTATCATTTTGAGCTCTTGTAATGATTTTTCTTCGTGTCTTAATTTGTGTAAGTTAAATTTTAGTAATTATATCTGCAAGCTAAATTTGTGCGGGTAATAGCAAATTTAAATATATATATATATATAAAATGTAAATACTTACTATTTTACATGCAAATTTTTTAATGATTATATATAAAAGGCTCCAATTTCAAGAGTCCGCTTAGGGCTCCAACAACTCAGGGCAGGCCTTGATCATCACACTATAGTCGGTTACTTACATAGTGAGACACACACACACATGTATATACACACAAAAAGGGGATTTGCTAATTTGGAATTCACGTAAGGCAGAGATAGAAAATGAGAAAGGGTGGAGAATATTTGTGTACTAAATAGGACAAAATGAGCTAATGTATATATGGAGAGAGAGAGAGAGAGAGAGAGAGTAGAAATGACCATAGCATTTGCAATTCCGTGTGGAATTTATCAATGTGATCAGAGGTAGACAAAATGGGTTTTTTCACAGCAACCTTGTTTCCATCCAAAACAGCTTCATAAACCGCACTTTCTGCTCCTGAAACAAAATGAATACACACCAATTCAGTTTCACATTCACAACAACAAAGCCAATGTGAGAGCAAAGCCAAAGAGGGGTACAAATTAAGGGCCACAAATTAAGCTCTCTCTTTGAATTGCAATTGAGAAACAAAAAAACAAATACACACATATATATATATTGATTGATACCTCGAGCAATTGGGTTTAAGAGAGAGAAGGAAGAAGGTGGGAGATGTGGAGGAATTGAGTCGCTCCGGCAGCAACCCCGAATGCATGTGTTTGGCTCCACAATCTCCACCCCCAAAGCCAAAGAGGGGTACAAATTAAGGGCCACAAATTAAGCTTTCTCTTTGAATTGCAATTGAGAAACAAAAAAACACACACATATATATATATATTGATTGATACCTCGAGCAATTGGGTTTAAGAGAGAGAAGGAAGAAGGTGGGAGATGTGGAGGAATTGAGTCGCTCCGGCAGCAACCCCGAATGCATGTGTTTGGCTCCACAATCTCCACCCCCATATCTCTCTCTCTCTCTCTCTTGCCTCTCACCCATGTATATATTTATATGTTTATATATATGTAGAAGAGGGTGGAAAAACGAAGCTTCGGGTTGGGGCTGGGATGGAGAGGATGAAGAGAGATTATTTTGGTAGGTTGGTTAAAAAGTTGAATTTTTATTTATTTTATTAAAATTGTACGAGCACGAAATAATTTGTCTCGTATAATTCTGTTGATTAAGTTTGCACTCCTTCAAACGTCGTCATCTTATCACCTGAAAATACAAACGTGAGTTAATTGATGGGTGTGTGTCGAAAACCCTTCCGATGCCTAAGTCAGCAAATAGACTATAGACACAAAAGCTCTGTGTATTTGAGAATAAGAATTGTGATACCTGTACGTAGGTCCTATCATGAGCTTTTATAGATTCCACCTGGCACAATCTTAGTAGGACTCTAGCTCTCCTTATACGAGTCCTCCTAATAATCACACTCCCAAGGATAATCCCTATCTTGATAACATCCTACTCACTACCAACCAAGTGAGACGGCTCTAACCTCCTGCCTTAGCTCGGTAGTACACTCAATCGAGCTAGCCTGCCCCTGCTCTACATTGGATAAAACCAAGATGGTATTCGACTGAGATAACCTTCAGTCCAGTATGCTACAAATATACCCCGGTCCAAGTTGCTGTTTACATCTAGCCAATCTGCTCCAGTCCTTGGACTGATAACTGTACACCACAAGACCGAGCTATAAAAGCTCTTAGCTCGGCCGCAAGCGCGCCCTTACGAATTGTGGAGTCTACTTAGCTAGGCCTAATACTTAAACCAAATGGACCTAGCTCGGCCCGGTTTATGCATATAAATTATCCTCTCAATTGGCCCTTAGTTCCATCTGCGAAGCATGATTGGGATTATTACCTTCAAACCGTGCTAAGATATTAGCCAAAGTGAAGTACTTCGGCTAGCCAAGCTACAAAACCCACTCGGTTTTCCCGTCTTTGACGTAGTACAGCCCGCTTTTCCACGCTGCTGACACCACGCCCTTACTGGGATACGTGGCTCCCCTTGATTGGCTCTACTGCTGTGACAGCCGTCAATCATAACTTCCAAAATTTGAATAGTCCCGCCTTTTTACTTCCATTTTGCATTTATTCCTTAGTCTTCAAACGTCCATTGTTACTGTTCATCTGCTCTCTGGAAAACCTCTCACATTTTTAACTCTAAATCCTTATCTTCTACTGCCAAGTCTCAATCCAAGTCGCAGGGGCTCGTTTGATTGAATTCTGCTTTCACGCCCTTAATCTGTAAGTTCCTCATGCCATTTTCTCTGTTTTAATTGATACGCCTTTGTTTATTTTCTTAAAGAAAAGCAATTAATCTCCCATATATGCGTGTTATATGCAATAGAGCCTTGAGCAAATACCATAAACCCAAAAAACCTCACGCTCAAACCTAAAGACACACTCAACTGGATTTTGAATCAGTTTCGAACATGATTTTTGATCCAAAATTGTGCTGTGACAGAACTATGAACTTGTTTGCGACCCTTAGGATAGTACTCGACTGAACTAGAAATGTATAGAACACCAACCATGCTATAAACCTTGAGTCGGCCTTGTTTCATGGCCGAATTAGAAATGGTTTGTAACGCAATTGTAACCAAGCTAGGCTGATATTACTCTGCCTATTTACTTAGCGCGGTCTAGTTATCTGGGCATGACACTTTTATTTCCACTTTGCAGACTTGACTAGGTTGGCCGGGCACACCCTTGCACTTTGCCCCTGGGCGAGTTTGCTCAGCCGAGCCATCCAAAGTCACACCAAGGCTGAGCTAGGCTGTCGTGTTCATAACAATTTTTAAACCAATGGGCAAATGTCGATTTCTGGTGGACTTGCTTGGTGCCATGGCTGAATTTCGAAGCGACTACCATATTCCGGACGACGTCCACCTTTTCTTAGCCGAGCTAGACACCACCCCTTGGGGCAAATAAGGTTTTGTTCCCTTTACCGTGATATCCATCGTAGAGGGGGAACTTTGGCTCTCAGTCTAACCACTCATTTGCGAATTCCGTAGGCCAACCAGACTGTGCCCCACCTAATTATCCACCAATTCTTCATAAACGGAATGGCTGAGCTAAATTCCTCAGGCTTTAGCCTGGCAATGCCCCAAACACCTCAGGAGGGTTCAAGGTAAGTTGCGGAGACTTACGGAACGAGCACGGGACTCGGGCTTGAGAACTAAATCAAAAAATGCACTTTTTTCACACTTAAGCTCGAAAATAAGCCGTCGGGGGCCAAAATCGTGTAACAATCACGAGAAGGCCCAGGGAACACGTCAAACACCCCGGGAGGGACCGATGTAAGTTGTGAAAACTTACGGAACTAGCACGGGACTCCCGGGAGAAGGACCGAGAAATGCCCAAAACACCTCGGGAGGGTCCAAGAGGTAAGCTGCGGAGACTTACGGAACTAGCACGGGACTCCCGGGAGAAGGACCGAGAAATGCCCAAAACACCTCGGGAGGGTCCAAGAGGTAAGCTGCGGAGACTTACGGAACTAGCACGGGACTCCCGGGAGAAGGACCGAGAAATGCCCAAAACACCTCGGGAGGGTCCAAGAGGTAAGCTGCGGAGACTTACGGAACTAGCACGGGACTCCCGGGAGAAGGACCGAGAAATGCCCAAAACACCTCGGGAGGGTCCAAGAGGTAAGCTGCGGAGACTTACGGAACTAGCACGGGACTCCCGGGAGAAGGACCGAGAAATGCCCAAAACACCTCGGGAGGGTCCAAGAGGTAAGCTGCGGAGACTTACGGAACTAGCACGGGACTCCCGGGAGAAGGACCGAGAAATGCCCAAAACACCTCGGGAGGGTCCAAGAGGTAAGCTGCGGAGACTTACGGAACTAGCACGGGACTCCCGGGAGAAGGACCGAGAAATGCCCAAAACACCTCGGGAGGGTCCAAGAGGTAAGCTGCGGAGACTTACGGAACTAGCACGGGACTCCCGGGAGAAGGACCGAGAAATGCCCAAAACACCTCGGGAGGGTCCAAGAGGTAAGCTGCGGAGACTTACGGAACTAGCACGGGACTCCCGGGAGAAGGACCGAGAAATGCCCAAAACACCTCGGGAGGGTCCAAGAGGTAAGCTGCGGAGACTTACGGAACTAGCACGGGACTCCCGGGAGAAGGACCGAGAAATGCCCAAAACACCTCGGGAGGGTCCAAGAGGTAAGCTGCGGAGACTTACGGAACTAGCACGGGACTCCCGGGAGAAGGACCGAGAAATGCCCAAAACACCTCGGGAGGGTCCAAGAGGTAAGCTGCGGAGACTTACGGAACTAGCACGGGACTCCCGGGAGAAGGACCGAGAAATGCCCAAAACACCTCGGGAGGGTCCAAGAGGTAAGCTGCGGAGACTTACGGAACTAGCACGGGACTCCCGGGAGAAGGACCGAGAAATGCCCAAAACACCTCGGGAGGGTCCAAGAGGTAAGCTGCGGAGACTTACGGAACTAGCACGGGACTCCCGGGAGAAGGACCGAGAAATGCCCAAAACACCTCGGGAGGGTCCAAGAGGTAAGCTGCGGAGACTTACGGAACTAGCACGGGACTCCCGGGAGAAGGACCGAGAAATGCCCAAAACACCTCGGGAGGGTCCAAGAGGTAAGCTGCGGAGACTTACGGAACTAGCACGGGACTCCCGGGAGAAGGACCGAGAAATGCCCAAAACACCTCGGGAGGGTCCAAGAGGTAAGCTGCGGAGACTTACGGAACTAGCACGGGACTCCCGGGAGAAGGACCGAGAAATGCCCAAAACACCTCGGGAGGGTCCAAGAGGTAAGCTGCGGAGACTTACGGAACTAGCACGGGACTCCCGGGAGAAGGACCGAGAAATGCCCAAAACACCTCGGGAGGGTCCAAGAGGTAAGCTGCGGAGACTTACGGAACTAGCACGGGACTCCCGGGAGAAGGACCGAGAAATGCCCAAAACACCTCGGGAGGGTCCAAGAGGTAAGCTGCGGAGACTTACGGAACTAGCACGGGACTCCCGGGAGAAGGACCGAGAAATGCCCAAAACACCTCGGGAGGGTCCAAGAGGTAAGCTGCGGAGACTTACGGAACTAGCACGGGACTCCCGGGAGAAGGACCGAGAAATGCCCAAAACACCTCGGGAGGGTCCAAGAGGTAAGCTGCGGAGACTTACGGAACTAGCACGGGACTCCCGGGAGAAGGACCGAGAAATGCCCAAAACACCTCGGGAGGGTCCAAGAGGTAAGCTGCGGAGACTTACGGAACTAGCACGGGACTCCCGGGAGAAGGACCGAGAAATGCCCAAAACACCTCGGGAGGGTCCAAGAGGTAAGCTGCGGAGACTTACGGAACTAGCACGGGACTCCCGGGAGAAGGACCGAGAAATGCCCAAAACACCTCGGGAGGGTCCAAGAGGTAAGCTGCGGAGACTTACGGAACTAGCACGGGACTCCCGGGAGAAGGACCGAGAAATGCCCAAAACACCTCGGGAGGGTCCAAGAGGTAAGCTGCGGAGACTTACGGAACTAGCACGGGACTCCCGGGAGAAGGACCGAGAAATGCCCAAAACACCTCGGGA